TATCTAGATTAGTACTTCTTAAAATTTTATGTATGTATGTATTTTTGATCTTCAAAGTGCAGAATTAACAGTATTTATGCTCAAACATCCTCCTTTCCCAAATTTGCTAGCATTTAAAATTCTAATTTGGATTCTTCTAAAACTTCTATAAGAATTCTTTGATTTTAGAATTCTGATGGTATTATTAAGTAAGACAAAATACTAGAGATAATGAATTGCATGTCCTTTTTTGACGTGTCATTTTAAAGGCAGCAGCACTTTTAGTCAGAAGCATTGAGCGTACTAATCATTAAATATTTATGCTTTTTAAGCTTTCAGTTTTTCCACTTGCCAAATACTGGTTTAAGAAAGCTTTTTCTTGAAATATTTTGTGCAATTTAGACTTCCTAAGTTGATATGGGCCTTTTTTTCCCCCAAACGGATTAAATTTAGTTAAAATCAAGTCTTTTATTATATATTTGGGGAATAGATGGTGGGAGGCTTGAGTCCCCTTTCTCGGTCTGGGCAATGTAACTTTAGAAATGATATAAAATTAAATGTTTTTTTCTTTCTTTCTTTTTAAAGAATTACCAGGGCAAGAGCACTTTGAACACAGCAGGGTTTTCTTCTTCACAAGCTCCCAATCCAGTAGACGATGAGTCATGGGATTAAAGCTAAAACATCCTTCAAGTTTGTGGTATAGTTTTGATGCAGAGAAGAAAATAGTTTTCAATTTTGAGTTTTTAACAGAAGTGTGAAACCTGACACTCTCGTATCTTCTGTCCTTCTGTTCTTACTCCCACCCTTAAAAAAAAAAATTCTTACTGACTAGTTATGTGAAATGCTAAAAATTACAACATTGCAGTTACTGATACAAATGGTGTTAACTGGAAAGATTAAAGCATTCTAAATGTCTTGCTTATTTCTAGTGTATTCTTCAGGGGTTTTAGACATGTTCCATTTCTAAATGCTTAATCTGAGTGTGGTGTTTATTGATTCTATAATAGGCAGTACGATTTATGATAAGCTTTTGTTTAGAAATTATTGAGTCTCATTTTTTACTTAAAAGGAGACTTTAAAGCAATAGTATGTCACTGAAACATGGTAACATGATTTTCATATAGCAGACAGTGAAAGACATAAGCCTTTTAAGGTGATTTTGATTTTAGATCATTAGGTGTGTGATGAAAATGGTTAAATGCAATGTGAGCTCTGTACTCAATGACATAACAAATGTTTGTTTTTATTCTGTACAGACTTTCCTTGAAAATAAAGGATGAAACACATTTCCCCCTTAGTGTTCCAAGAGCACTTTTAATTTTTCTTTGTTGGCATATCATAGTTCTCCCATACTTTGAAATGTTGAGTCTTGTAAAACCGATGAAGTGAACAAGGTCTTACATCATTTAAATATTTATATATAATAGACATTAATACACGGATGTAATGGTGAAAATCACACTTCAGCTCAAACTCTGTCAACAAAACACAATACTGTTCACTCTTGCCATAATTAATATTTTGATATTTTAAGACTGAGAGAATCCTTTTTTCATTTACCAGTATATATCTTAACATTCTAGACATACTAAGTTTAAGTAATTCTTAATAAATCATTAAATAAATGAACCAAAATATTAAGACATGAAACAAGTGAGATGTAAATATTAGATAAAAAATGATCAATTATGAATGTTTGTTATTGTTAACTTAAGAAATACAAAGCAACCTGTCCCCAACATAAATCTTGTTATGTGAATTTGGTTAATAAATGAGACATCACTTAGGAAAAGAGAAGGTCTGTTCAGCATATGTTGTTAGGACTAGATGTGTGCCCCATGCCATATTCACAATCTATTCCACATGTATTATTAAAAATTAAAAGCTACAAAAAAATACAGTTAAATATGAAACCTTTGAATTGGGGTCAGAGTTGACTTGTAACTCAGAGGTCAGAAATCATGAAACAATAGATTTGAGCACGAAAGGATTAGTTGCTTATATAAAGAGTAAACAACAGACAAGGAAAAATATTACTGTAACTACAATGGATTATCAGTGTATAGTTCTTTATATGTGGTTATGTAGGAATACCAGTAGAAGAATGGACAAAGAACAGACAACTCAAAAAAGGGAAGTTCAAGTAATGAAAATAGGGAAATATTTAACTTGTATTCTGTAATATCATTTCTGGGGAAGGGTAAATGAAGGATAGTGTTTGGGTCATTACTTGCAAAATACCTGTGTGTCTTAATTTTCTCCTCCATTTTGTTTTGTTTACAAAGAGCATTTGCAGACCATCTGTTCCTTCCCCTCCCCCCCCATTCCCATTTCTTTAAAGAGTTTTTCAGTCATAGCTGGCCTAATTGCCTTTAAAAATTTTTTGAATTTGCATGATTTGTAAAATTACCATAACAGCATTACTGACTCAAATATAAAAAGGGAAAGAATATTGTACCTCATTCCACTATCATTACAAACCAAACTGTTCCTATGTTCACTTACTTTCTGCATTTCTAGGTATACATTTGAATGATTTCTTTAAAAAATATCAAAGTAACAGGTACTCTTATGATTAGAAAATGCCACAGAAGAGTTTATAATAGGAAGCAGTATTCTCCTGCGTCTCCCTTTCTTAATTGCTATTTCACATCCCATATTGAACAGCCTTTCACCATTTCTAGTAGTTGGTATTGTGTGTTTTATTTTTGTCTCACCAAATTTAGATTTCTTTTAGTTTTCTCTATAATAGGTAGAGATTTAACTTATGTCACTCTCACTTTCTTGGTAACTTTAAGAGACTAAGACACATACTTTATAAAGTAATGATAAAGGCTCTCTTTCTCTTCTCTTTTACGGCTTTTTATACTGTATTATCTGTAAACTGTACATTTACATTTCCAGAGTTAAAACATCCACTCTATTCTATAACCATAAAGTCTGTCTTCTTTTATTTATAGGTTGATTCTGAAATTGGACATCAGGCAGGGTTTACATTACACAAATATTGTTTCCTGAATGGACCAATTAACACAGTCTGATTTTGTTTTTTTTACTTATTTTTCCAATTATCTGTTTTTCCAGGGAAGATTATAAATGTTCCGGTGAAATGAAAATTGATCAAAACTATTCCACAACCTGTTTGTTTTAAACTTGCATCATACTCTTTTTGAGCAATTTGTTTACCCTGTAGTTTGTATTTTTTGCTCCCAGGAGAGGAAGCATGCTCTTGCCACCTTATTATTACCTTTCTAGGTTCAGAGTTATTGTATCGATCCCAAAAGATATTGGTGCTTTTAAATTTTATGAGTGGGCTTTTAAATTCTGACTGGTACTTGGTATTTTAGCAGACAGTTCTTTTCTGGTCCTGGAAGTGTTTCTTTGATTAATTTTCCTAAGTTTTCTTCATTCTTTCTATATCTCATAGCTTTTTTTTTTTCCCATCTTTTTCATCTGTTATGTTCTGGTGGAATTTTTGCTTTTTTTTTTTTAAATTCTGTGATTTTTTTTAAGCAGTTATTTCCAAGGGCTATCTTTATTTCTTCAGTTATTCAAAATGTTGCTTAATAGTGAAGTTTTTGCTTCACTTAGGGATTTAACCTAAAAATGATTTTTCTTACATTGAGCATTTGTTTTTCTGCTGCTTGGCATCAGAAATCTTAGGCCCTTATCAATTTATAAGTTGCATGTTTTGGTTTTTTTTTAAGATTTTATTTATTTATTTGACAGAGATCACAAGTAGGCAGAGAGGCAGGAGGAGAGAGAGAGGGAAGCAGGCCCCCTACTGAGCAGAGAACCTGATGCGGGGCTCAATCCCAGGACCCTGGGATCATGACTTGAGCCAAAGGCAGAGGCTTAACCACCTTAACTGAGCCACCCAGGTGCCCCAGTTGCATGTCTTTTGAATGCTAACTTTACTCACTTAGCAATCTGTCCTTCACCCTGGAGCCCGGGGTCTAACTATATCAAGGCCTGCTCTCAAGAGAAGGCATAGGTTGAAATGTGAGTAATAAAGCTTAGCTTTCCTTTCCTAGAGGCTTACACATTTTTAATGAGCCAGAGTTTCTGGACTAAGCCAAAGTAGGAAGCTCAAAATGTGGAATATATAGGATCATGTGAAGGTTTGGGAATAATGATGATGTAGTAGCAAATAAGGGTGAGGAGAGGTCCTGATTACACTTAGGAATTCCACTAGGTACTCCATCTGTCCCTAGGTTCTTGGAGTAGAGGAGGTATGGTTTTTCTGATTTTTTTTTTTTTTTTTTTTTTTAAGCATGGATAACATTTCTATGTAGAGCAGCAGCACTGGTCAGAAGTTTTCTCTTACCTCCCTTCCCATGACACTACACTTACCCAGTTTGCACAGTTGTGTCTTTGTCATTTTGTTTGGTTTCTAAGTGTGTTGAAAATAGAGTACCTCTCTAGTCTTTAATTTCTGAGAGCCCTTTCTCAGTCACTTGCCAGCGTGCAGCTGCTATCTGTGGTTGGCAGACGCTGCTTATGCTCACGGTCAGCTTGATTCCCCTGTCGCGCGCCCCATGCCGAACTGCGTGCTTACTACCTCTTTGGTAAAAATTAGTCCAGCGTGGAATCCGTATTGTGTCCCGAGGCCCTGGCGGTGATGAAAGGCTTTCTTAACGAAGATCCAGCCAGGAGAAATCCTCAGCAGTCAGGCGGCTCTGGAACGGCTGTGGCCGCTGTGAAGCCGCCAGCACTGAAAAGCAGCTTCCGCCTGCGTGCCCCCTTGCTGAGGCTGCTCCCAGAGGCGGCTCCAATTGGTGGTCCTTCCACTCTCCTGCTCACTCCGAGGAGAAGCCGGGAAATGACAGCGAGCAAGGGCGTGGGACGGCGGGAGCCTGCGGGGTGGAGCGGGAGTTTGGGCTGAGGCAACCAAGGCGGCTGAACAGTCGTGGAGGGGTGGGTGCCTGGGCGACGGGTGTGCTGGTGGCTGGTGGGCTGGCCCTGTGGGGTTTCCTTGGACTCTCAGCGTTCTGAAACCTTTTCGATCACGTAAATTACAAACCCCACTTGTATATTAGATCTCAGCGATTTTACCAACCTCTCTCAAATCCTTAACAGACCCAGGCAAAGGGTCCGGAACCGCAGATCAACACTCCCACGATACGGTAGTGCCATGAGGATTTCATGTCAGGAGAGGACGGGGGACGACAGGGTGGTGTGCTAGGACGCTACAGACGCTGGAAATTGAAGTGAGTAAATCATTTGTCCCCAAGTTTGGGGGCTGGTGATTCAATTAAATCTGTTAATCCTTTAAATGATTCATTAATTGTTTTCCTGTAATTTAGGCAATGATTGTCAAATTGTCAAAGTAGAGTATTGGAATTTGCTTTTTCTGTGGGGGAATTTTTGGTAAGAATCTCCCAAAGGATTTTTTTTTTTTTTTTTTTTTTTGTCTCCAGTAGTTAGTGTTTTCTGGATTTGGAGTCTAATGTGTTTATGGGATTCTTTTTCACTATTCAGGAACAAAAACCAATTTTCTTGTTCTGAATGTATGAACTTATTAATTATCCCAAAGTATTGGGTATGTCTATTTTAATTTGATTTTTGTTTTAGGAGGGGGGTTAATAATTTAGTTTTAGGAGGGGGGTTAGCATGTGGGGGATTAAAACATTCTCAACAGAAATCCAAACACTTTCTTAAAAAATTTTTATGTATAGGAGAGGCTCCTATATAACAAGGTCAGCATGATGCTTTATAATAAATAACTAGTTGGAGTAAACATTGGCTTTATTTGTTGACTTGTCTAGCATAGATCTACTTTAGGCCTTGGTTGGCTTATATAAAAAAAGAAGACCGTAACTGCGTTTTTCTCCGTGTTCATCTCCAGTCAATGAAGAAGTCACATTTATGTGACTTTATGTGAAGAAGTCACATAATGCATTCATTTACAAAAAAATATTTTTTAAGAGAGGCAGCCTTGTATAAGAATGCAGAGTATCATAGGTAAATGTTGGTGCACTTGTATTTGAATGTTCAAGTCTTATTCTAGTATTGCATTAGTTGCCTTATCAATGTTAAATGGATAGTTGAGAAACAAGTCAAATCACATCTGCAACTATATAGTTTTTCATTCTCTACACAGATACTGCCTGGGCATGAGTGATGCTTGTTAATTGACCATTTTGGCATCTTACTCTGTACCTCATCTGTTAATTTTTTTCAATCATTCTTAAAGACGTTCACCACTGGAGATTTATTCATGGTCATTTGCACATGGTAATCAGCCAGTGTGTTCTTGCCAGGTAAATGCAATGCAGGTTCTGACAGTTTCATCTTAATATGTTTGTTCTGAATTATCTTACTGTGTTACCAGTCATCCGGGGTTGTAGAAAACATAGCTGAAATAATTTATTTCAATTCTATAAACAGGACTATTGATACAGTGCCACAAAGTTAATACAAGCATTTGACCTAGAATGCAGTGCCAAAATAAGTATAGTTTATCATAGTGTGGATGTTAAGAGATATTATCAAGAGTGATGCTAATCACTTATTTAAACTAAGTGGTAACAGAGGCTTATAGTTTTCTCCTCTATGTATAATGTGGTAGGAAAATGAACACTACTGTAGTCAAAGACTCAAGTTGGCCTAAGTTTGAATCCCAGCTCAACTTCTTACTAATAATTGTGTGCTCTGGGACAAGCTGTTTCTTTTTTTCTTTTTTTTTTTTTTAACAACATTGCCCTCAAAGTTACATTTTTCTAAGCTCTTCAAATATTCCCCACAATTTTTTTAAAGACTTTATTTACTTGACAGAGAGAGAGATCACAAGTAGGCGGAGCAGCAGTCAGAGAGAGAAGGGGAAGCAGGCTCCCTGCTGAGCAGAGAGCCTGATGCAGGGCTCGATTCCAGGACCCCAAGATCATGACCCAAGCCGAAGGCAGAGGCTCAACCTGCTGAGCCACCCAGGCACCCCAAGCTGTTTCTTTATTTGAAATAAAATTTAATAATAAAATGCACAAATCTTAAGTGTATGGCTTAAATTTTTACCTGTGTATACTTCTATCTATCACCCAAATCAAGATATGTAACACTTGTATCACCTTCTTGCCCCTTTCTAGTCAAATGCCTACCTAAAGGTAATTACTATTCTGATTTTTATTACCACAGTTAGATTTACCTGTTGTTGAACTCTATATAAATGGAGTCATAGAGTATGTCCTCTTTTGTGTCTGGCTTTTGGCCTACATAAAATCTGTGGAATTTATCCATGTTGTGTTTTTGTATCAGTAGTTTATCTTTTTATTGCATAGTATTCTGTCATATAAATATATTACAAATAATTTTTCCAATTTCTTGTTGATGGGCACTTGGGTTTTCAGTTTTTTATGAATAAAGCTCCTTTATTCTTGTACAATTCTTTTGGTGAACATAGCATTCAGTTCTCCTAGGGGTGGAATTGCTGGGTCAAAAGTTAGGTTTAGCATAAGTGACTCTTAATCTCACAAAACAAACTGAGGGTTGCTGGGGGGAGGGGGGGAGGGAGAGAGGGGTGGGGTTATGGACATTGGGGTGGGTATGTGCTATGGTGAGTGCTGTGAAGTGTGTAAACCTGGCGATTCACATATATAAAAATACATTATATGTTTATAAAACATTTTTTAAAATTTAATAAATTATTTTTTAAAAGTTAGGTTTAGGTTTAACTTTACTAGAAACAGCCAAAGAGTTTTCCAAAGTGGTTGTACCATTTAACATAGCCACCAGTATTTTGAGAATATTAAATTTGCTCAACATCCAATCCGTTACTTGGTACTTCCAGTATTATTAATTCTAGTCATTTCCTGTGGTTGTAATTTTTATTTACTTGGTGATTAGTGATGTTGAATGCCTTTATATATGCTACTTGGGCATTTTTGTCTTTCTACACCTGTTTATGTGTTTACCTAGTCAGGTTGTACAAACTGTACACCTTGAGTGGTAAAAAAGAGAAAAAATGCAACCAAGAGATGGGGTGCTATCTTGCTGCTCACTGGTGACACCAAGAGCTGTGAAAATGGTTTGTCTTAAGCTAAATTACAGTCCTTTGGGTTACTGATTATATCTGTTAGGGTAACACTAGCTGCTGTTAAACCCCTAAGACTTCAGTGACTTAAGATAGAATTACTTTTTTTATTTTCCCCACCTTGACTGTCCAAGGAGGGAATTCAAATTCCTGGTAGGTAGGTGGCCTTTCAAATATTTATTTAGGACTCTAGACTTCTTCCATCATTTAGCTTTGTAATCTTTGATACATGGCTTCCAAGGTCCTTATGCTTCTCTTCATCAAGCCAAAGAAAGGAATAGTTGGGGCAGGGGAGGGAGGACATATGCTCATATATGGAAGATTTTGATGGGTTGGCAAGGAAACGGTATATACATCTCTTTTCATCATATTCCAGTGTTGAGAACTCAGATGAATCTAACTGTAGGGAGGCTGGAAAAAGTAGCCTGTGTCTGTGTGCCCAAGAATTGCCCAATTGGGAATTGGCCTGCAGTCTCTGCCAATAATGAAGAAATTGTATGTTCTCAGGAACAGTCAATGGATTTCTGTATTAAACTGAGTCAGGACAAAGAGTAACTTCTTTGTTAGCTTTAAATAGCAATGAATCTATATGAACTGTCAAGCAAGACACTTCCCATTCTCTTTGTGTAGCCTGACAATGCTGTTGGAGTTGGAGAGTGGACTATTAGAAGTACAGATAATGATAACTTAATGAGTCCATTCTGTGATGACTAAAATGCTTTGCTGAAAGCTTTTCTCCATTATAATTTTATTTATTTAATGTCTGATATTTATAAGATTAAAATAAGGTAACTACTTTGTCTTTTATTAATTTTCCAGGACTTTGTGACTTTAAAACTTAAAGTGCATAAGAAGTTTTAGTGGCTTATTAGAAAATGACTTCTGATACTGTCCATGGGGAAATGCAAAGCTGTTTCTTTGACACCTTTCCCTAAAGTTTCTAAGATACTCCTAATATGTTAGGGTTGCTAAGTCCTTCAATTTTTTTTTAATTGTTATATTCTGAACCAGTAAGAGATGGATTGCCTTGAATTTTCTAAAACCTGGATCAGCAATTAAGAGTCCAGTGCACATCATTGTTAGAGGAAGGATGGAGAAGAAAACAAGGGAAGAAAGAAGAAAGGGAACAGAAAGAAAATGAGCACGAGCTGAGGTGCCTGCAGTAGAGCTTCCTAAGTAGCCATGTGTTTAAGCTTTCTATGGGCAAAGCACTGCTCTAGAATAGTGCTGTACTTTAGAAATGCAATGTGAGCCATATATGAAGTCAATACATCCCAAATATTACAGCATATAATCAATATAAAAATAGATATTTTACTTTTTTGGGAACTAAATCTTTGAGATTGACTGCACATTTTGTAATTACCTCACATCTCATTTTGGATGTGGTTTTCATTGGAAGTACTTCAACAGTATTTAGTCTTTATAAAAGATACATAATACATACTATGATTCACATATCCAATATAGGTTCACATACCCAAGTTGTTCAAACCTACTTAAAAGTTTTCCAATAGCTGAAGCAACTCTCAGTTTTAAAATTTAAATTTAGGTTAATAAAATAAAAAATTATATTCTTAGTTGCACTAGCCATGTTTGAAGTGTTCCATAGCCACTGACTTCTGTATCCATAGTGCAGCTCTAGAGTCTAGACTGAGTTTGAACTCTAAGCTCTAGGAAAGCATGTACTTCTCTCTGGCATTGAGAAAGTACTCAATATTTGTGGTTTGAAAAATATTATCAACATTTTTTCAAGAAAGTGGAGTTGAAAGTGAAGCATAATAAATAAGCTAATTTAATTGAACAGCTGGAGGGAAGCCAGGCTTCTTTTCCAAAACTTAATTATTCCGAATTAGCTTTCAGAGTGCCGCTATTTAGATCAGAGTGGCTACACCTTATTGGAGGACGCTGCTTTCCAACCCAATGGCTGGTAATTGGCCAAATTGCCTATTAATTGGCACATAGTAGATTAGCTAAACAACTGTGGAGGAATATATTCAAGATGCCCTCTGTTTAATCCACTAGTTTGGATTTGGGGTATACAAATACAATAATAATTTAGTCAAAACAAGTTTGAAAATATGAAAAATCATATATCCCATTCTATGTCACTCTGCAGTGGAAAATATTTGTTGCTAGAGGGGTATACACCTTTAATTTACCAAAAAAAAAAAAAGAAAAAAG